GAGTAACTATCGCGATCCGAGAATATACGGAGGCTGGGTTGATGACGACAGACCAAGTGCATGTACAAACGTTTACACCGGCCTTCTGCCTCGATTAGGATGCTTGTCCGCAGGGATGTTTTATGGCAATCCAGTACACCATAATCAACGGTGGAACTCCACTGCAATCCTTGTCACGACCAGGTAGATTTAGAGTCTCCCTCCGTTTCGCTCATCTCCAGGTAGGCAGGTAAATACACTTTGATCCTTCTGCAAAGAGACCGCATCATCTTACTGATATAACTTTTCCCAAGCATATGAGTACGGTCATGTAGGCTTAAAAAATATGCTTTGAAAACCGTCTGACTCTGCCATTTAGTGAGATAGCTGAAAACGCTGAAAGTCTTCTTGCTAGAAAACAGGGATCGCTCAGCAACGCTAAAACAGCCACTCACTGAGTGCTAGCTAACGGATACCATGTAATATCCAGTTCGTCCCATCGTATGCGTCGTTTATAACTTTTTCGCAATTGCTCAGGGAGATTTGAGTCAGACGACACTTAACATGTATAATGTTTCTGGATAATGGTTCTATTTTAGCTGACTCTTCCCAGAGGACCTGAGTAGTACATAGTTGGCCAGGAAGCAAAAATAGTTCTACTCTAAAATCCTGCAAAAGCTGGCGTAGTATTCCATCCATAGTGTCTTTTGAAGGCATTGTTATATATTTATCCTCAGTTACATTTGAAGCAGGAGGAAAGTGAAATGCGCTATTTGTTCGCGTCCGCTAGCACAAAGTGCCCCAATTTACTCAGTTAATTTAACTTCCGCAAACTTCCTTCATGTTCACTTACTCACAAAGCGTGATTTAACATTTATAAGTTGTGTTTGTATCTTTAAACTGCATCAAACCACTCCTCATTCAAATTCACGTGGATTCAAAACGTTGCATGTCATTTCTGCATTTAATTTGTTATTTCCTGGTGCGTTCTGATAGTCAGATTTAACATGTCCTATCCTCATGTTTTTTTCATACAAAAAGTACAGCACACTGTCGCGTCGTTTTTGCTGAATTTGGCAAATAAAGTGTCTAACCAAGACTTATAATTCAATTCGATCGAGGTCTAACATGTCGACGAAACAGAATTTTCCAAAAACTTAAAACCGAACAGTTTTTTGCACAATGTATGAAATTCAAGGCATTTTTACTGATGGAAAACTTAAAACATTCTGGTATATCGTGCCCTCCTTACATAAGCATTCTTTCCTGTGACCTGAAATTCGGTCAAAAGTAAGCCGAAAGTTCCTTTAATCACATACTTCAGCGAACAAAGATGAACTTTTACCGAGCTAAAATCTGTGAGGGCAACTTTCTAAAGCAGTGTAAACAGGAGGTATGCGATCACCTGACGAATAATTGCTTTTTGTGCCCAAGAAGCTTTCCAGCTTTACGAGAGCAAGGATGCATCGCATTCTTTTATGATCGCATTCCATCCATTCACTAGATCTTATTGAACACTTTCCAACGGCGTCCTGGTGTCCAGCCCTCAGAAATTCTAGGTGTCTTTACACATTAAACTGTCCTAGTGGTGTTTGACGAGGCTCGATACCCAGGTCTCACAGAACAGCGCCATATTAGGGGTTGGTTTCAAATTTAACTGACAGGCATAGTCTTTTACTCTGCGGCTTCTCCTTAAACATCGCAAGCTCTGTTGCCGATACAAGCGAAGATGCGTGTTCCAGGAACCAGGGGACAAGAAGAAACGATCGCCGACACGACGAGCTCTGTTGGTTAAACAGAAATTGTGGCGCATACTTTATACATGCATAATCTTCTGTGACCTCCTTGTCAACGCTGGCCTGCGTAACCATTTTTTACTTTTTTTAACCTCTCGAACAGATGCTCGGGAGTTCTACGAAACAACTCTCCTATCAGAGGATATTTCCGCTGACGAGAAAACCAGCATTGCCTTAGACATTGCCATGAGATGGGAACAAATCGACAGCTCCTCTACTGCACTGTCAGCAAACAGTTTGCTCGAGAGACTCAAGCCCGACGAATTGGTTCCCAGCGCCAGATCAGTGAGTTTGGTGGATACTATGCCGATTATCTACTAGTATCACATCTGAAATGCATGCAGCTATTTCAAGAACCATTTTTATTGCTAGTGTATTCTGACTTCTATGTAGCTTCTTTCGGATAATGACAAAATTTCTCCACTTCCGCATGATTTATGTCAGTTATATGTGCCAATGAGAAATACAGGGACTGTCTTTTGCCGCTTTTGATACTTAACAGACAGGATAGTCACGTATCGAAAATTGTGTCGGGCAAATATGTTCAATCTAGAGCTTTTTGCCTCTTTAGTGCTTGTTTGCTGAAGTTTCAGGCTCAAGCTCTTTCTTCTTTTCTCGTAAAAGATTCAAGGGAAGAGCATCGGCCTCATTCCTATATCTGTTTTGCGATGCTTTTATCACAGATTTTGACTAAAAGTCTGAAAGTGTGTTCTGCCGGTTGCATGCCACTTACGAGAGGCCTTAGGCTTACCAACTCCCATTCAGTGTTTTCCGGTGTGAACCCAAATTTCCGGGGAAGTATCGTGCCTCCACTGCAAACTATTTGAGAAAATAAAGTTAAGTTGTTAGAAGGTGGTATGTCAGGTGCACTGCTGATGCTGACCTTAAAATACGGGTTGACTGGTATAAATTTCAGCGAAGTAGCTGCATTTGTGAGCTGACCCAGCTCACAGTAGTTAAGGGTTCTGAGAAAAAATAGGCCTTGTAATACTCTCACTAGACTTCTAGACAGCAGAAAAGTTTCATAAAATAAGTGACACTTAATTGCGAACTATTTAATGGTTTATTCATTTTACCTTCCAGGGTATTTCACAATCGCGATAGCTGTTATTAAGCCTTCCACATCCGAATCTTGGACACTATGAATCTGATCAAACCGACTAAATTGTGAAATTCACAAATATTTTAATTTGATTTAAAAACCAGAAATCCAAAAACGTGCTGGCATACTCATGCCGATTCGGTTCACTCATCAATGGAAATATGGTTCGCGGTATCTGTGTGCAATTTGTCTAGTGGGTGTACATCGACAATTGCTACTTCCAAATGCAGAAAGAGGGCTTTATCATGCGTATAAAGCGACAATAGTATTAAACAATCCCAAAGGAAATAGCATGACGAGGTCAGGAACGCGGGCTTCGTACAAACTTATATTAAAGTTGCACTGAGACGTAGGGTTTCGCACCCAAATCCCTTGACCTGCAAACTGGAAAGCAAAATATATCACTTGGGATAGATTATGCATGAGTAAACTTTCTGGCGCATTAATGTCATAAGAAACGAGGCATCGAACGATTGTTATAATCCGCAAACTATCGCGGTGATACAGCATAAATTAACACGGAAATTAGAATACCGCCTTCTCAATAGACATCCACCTGCAGACTACCCAGTAATTGACTTTTATTGAACAATTATCTAGATAATGTAAAAGTTGCCTCTGTGTGGCGGCATTTGCATCTGACTGCTAGACAATTTTTTGATTATCGTCTCTTTAATGGAAATCGAAGTCCCCTTAATTTTCTTGTCAGGAGTTTTAGCATATTTCTTTGCGTGACCCTGTTTATTTGGACTGCAGACAACTACTGAAGCCTCAGGGATCCAGGTTCTTCATGCCTTTGTGTAGACAGCGGATTAGAACATATCCCCCTGATGAGTACTCTTGATTTTTACTCAAACATATTGGCTCAGAGAAAGAGACTAACGTTTTGAAACTCGGCTTTACAGTAAGTCCAAAAATGTAAATCCTTAGGCCATCGTTTTGGATATCCGTCCAAATGCAAGCGTTTTATTGAATTAAACTACTAAACAAATTGGAATACTCAGAAAGAATAATAACCAAAATGGTGCTTATGCTTTTTTATTGATTTTCGATACTTATGTCAAGAGAATCTTGCTTCAGACGACGAAATATGCCAAATTCATTTCTTTTGCGTCTTTTGTAGGAAACAACTCCTTTACACTTTGCCTCAAAAGGGCTTTAACCAATTTAAATAAAACCTTGTACTCATGAGGTTTTTATATATTCGGATAATAATTTACGTAGTGTGCTTCATACATATCTGCTACCGATTTCTTCAAGGCATTCCGATGCATTTATATCTACCATAGCACTTTGAGCGTACAACGAGTGCTTCAGATCACCTCTTGAGTATATGCATTTCACCTGATAATCCAATTTCCAACAGTGGAGTTTTGTCTGAGAATTTGGCAAGCACTCAAGAAAAAAGTTAAAGCTGCTATAAGCCAGCGCAAGAGGTGTAACTACCAAACGGAAAATTGGTTATCCCAAGTTTGTTTGTAGGCAGCTTATCCACGATCCGCTAGCGGGCTCTCATTTAGTTTAATGTTTTACCGGATTCCCATTGACTGGACGCCCTATGCATACGCATTCCCTCAGCGTCATTTGGATCCTCACGTACCTATCCAGCGTAATGCTGTTTAGTAGAAAGCCCAGAAACGGTTGGGTGAAGGACCCTACTTAAGCGTCGGTAGACTGTGGATCACGTCATAAAGGAATGGTGATAATGGAGGGGATTTATGGGTGGGGCGGCACACCAGACGGCAAGCTGACGAAGTGCAAGAAAACAGAGAAATTGACTGGATTTCTGTCGATATTCTTATCAACCGCTTTCGTATGGCAACGGAAATGAGTGTCTTAATTTAAAAAAGGAACAAAAAAGCAAGTTTTCAAAAAACGACGGAGTTTGAGTGATGGTTCAAGGTCATGGGAACTAACTGATATTGGCAATGTAACATCCGCAACGGCCTGCAAAAGCATGCCAAGACAAAACCCCATCTGACATGATCCCCAGTCCAACAACAGTTGAATGGGGGCTTTCGTTCTGCCGTTGCCGAAAGGCCGTCCAGGCTTAAGTTAAGCATTTAAAAGATGATAGTGCATCATTCTGAACAATGGCAAAAGGCAATCGCTTTTGAGGCAAACCCTCAATCCCCTCTCGATAACAAGTCTCGAGCATCCGTAGTGATCACAGCATATAACTCATAGAGCTCCATCCTCGGTCTGGAATGAAGCCTGAATATATCCGATTTGTACCTAGTACTGACCGATTTATGAAAATTCGAGAATTACTTGAAGCCTGAAAGTGAGTTGTTTTCAGATCCACTTTCGGAATGAGCCTCAAGATGTTTACCCCGGAGGATTTCCTACAAATTTGCGCAGCACTGTTGATGGAGACGAAAGGGAAACGCTGAGTGGGAGACAAGTATGAATCAGCCCCCTTTCAGCGGCACAAAACAACCGTAGCATGAGTCTGGACTTTTAGCCAATACTTCTGTTGTCAGTATGTGTATGCTACTGGCAATTGTTGGCATCTCGTGACTATTGCGTGCTTATTCCGTAGATGCTGATGGATTTCGGCTTATATGTTTATATCACTTCTGGACCGAACATGCAAATGACCGTTCCAAGAGATTAATTTCTATTTCATGTGTTATTTTTTACGGAGGGGGAAAACCCTCATTAGGAACAATTTATGGTGTATTTTGGTCGGCAATTTAAACTGTAAGGCCAAGATAATAAACACTATCTGCTTTTATGCCTCGTGATTCCATCCTACCGACTACCAGAAAATGCAAGAAGAGAAAACGAAATTTTAATTGAGCACCAGATCTTTGCTAAGAAGATGCACATTCGTTTTTCCATGCTTAAAGCCTATGTTGTCCCCCTTACCTGACTTTCGACAGCGAGTACGTATTCCTATCTTACACATTTCTAAATTTCTGATATTTGCCCGCCCACAGCACTCTTTGCACCACATCGAGGACCCCACAAGGGACAAACCTTTCTGCCAAAATCTGCCTCTGGCTCTACGGCGCATTCATCTAACAGGTCCCGGCGGTACTCGCAATACATCACCCGTCCATGGCAACAACCAGGTCAATTCGCATTATGCTTCCAAAGCTGAAAAAGCATGCTCATCAACAGATTCCGGCCGTCACAGATTGGAGGCTCAGTCTAATGAGCGGACGCCGCACCAACAGAGGAGGTCAGACCCTCCTCGTCGGCCCAGACGTCACCGACACCTGCTGCTGCCGCCTCCGCACGACGAACCAGACCCGCAGAAGGCAGTCGGCCGGGTTCCATCGCCCAGCACGTCCTCCTCGTTGGAGTCTTTCAGTCGTCTTGCTGGTAGTGGTCCAGGGGGGCAGACTTTTCACCTCCAACTGGAGCGCAATCCGGCGGACGGATTTGGTTTCAGCATTGCAGGCGGCAGTGATCAGGAGCCGCTCTCTGAGG